CCCCTGCTCGTGGCACGAGTCATCACGCAATCCAAACGGCCAGTCAACTGAGAAAACGATAACTTCTTGGGAAAACATTAGGGAGTCGGCTCGGACGCTTCCAGACCGGGTTCTGTTGACGATGGCTGCCTTCAAACAACAACATTGTGCTGTACCTGTGTTTCGTGAGTTTCCCTTACTCCCCCCAATATTACCCCGCCTTCTCGGCTCATATGTAATTACCCTTTATTAACCCAGATGTATAAGTGGGGGTAGTCGGGGGTAGTCGGCCCTAGTCGGGGACCTCGTGATACCTTTGTGGTGCATGTCTTTGTCCTGCGTGTCGAAGGGGATGACGAACATGGCAGTGATTAGTCTTGACCCACTGGACACCTGAACCCAATGCTTGACTTCACCTGCCAAAAGACTGGAAGCCTGGCTTAATCTCCAGTGTAAGGGGAGCTGATTTCTGATAAAGAACCCACGCGTTCCTGGCCAGCCGGCAGAAATCGGCACATTTGCACACAGGCGGCTCCCCTTATCCAAAGAACATCATTCCTTCGTACAAGGACCGCAAAGACTGATTGAGTAATTGTCTTTACACACTGATGCTGTTGCAGCTGCCGTTGCTGCCGCTGCTGCTGCTGCTGCTGTTGTTGTTGTTGTTGTTGCTGTTCTTTTACCACTTTTGAAGCTGTCCTTAACCAGCCCTGCAAATTGAGTTGCTGGCCTCCATACCGGCGCATGCCGCTGCCACCTCCGCCACCTGATAACATCTGCGGCATAGCAATGATGACTCAAAAAAAGCTTGTAATGCATGTAATGAGACTCAATACAAGGATCAGCCAAGATGGTTGTACAACACTGAACTAGTAACTGCTTCACAGACTTGCTCCTGCAGGCGTTTGGAGCCCAAAATCCTGCAGCCTGAAGCTTTGGTTTTGGGGGTTTACACGGTCAGATCAACTTCAGGCATTCAAAGGCGTGGATTTGATAGCCTGAAAAACAGAACCCAAACCATGAAACCCAAAAAGCCAAGATTCCATAGCCCTTTAGTTCCAAGTCTGAAGCTCACTGCGTCCGTCTGATGGAAGGTTCCCTCTCTGTGCAAAACCAGCGCTCTGTTTGGGTTTTGAGCTTGGTAATGTAATGTTCCTCCCAGCCAGCAATGCTGGCATGGTATTGATAAAGATGGACACGCGCATGATTACCAGTTTTCTGCGGTCGCTCTTCGCAGGTGGGGAGATGCGAGAGCAATGGGAACTGTCTGGCTTTATGATGCGAAACGCCACCCCTTGAAACGTTTCCGAGGATGTATTCAACACGCGAAGACATGTCATTACGGAGGTGGAGAATTTTCATCTTGGGGAAGCGATTGCTGGGGAGGCCACGTCAGTGCCCCACGGATAGGATCGGATAGGGGACCTCTGGCTTTGGCGATTGCCTCGGATCCTTGGCACAAGCAAGCCTGCATTCCATGTCGGCTGCAGGCATTCTCACTTACGCAAGACCTTGCCCCAGAC